GAGGGTTGCGATCCATTGCCGGACACGAAAAAAGACAAAAAGGAAAAAAAAAAAAGAAATGCAAATTCCAGTCCTTACTCCAGACCTATTGAACAAGAAACTTGGGGGAGGGAGGGCAGAGGGGCAGAAAGTGGAAGAAGGGGAAGGCAATTTTATGCATGCTAAAGTTTGAGAACCACTATTCCATTGTATCCTAATACCATATGTAACCAAATAATAGTTTTCTTAGTTTTAAAAGCACAATCTTACCCCAATTAGGGAAAGCAATTTTCTGACTTTTCCAATAAAACTTTTATCAATGTCAGAAAAACTTACGCTACTATTCATCTGAAGCTTCTACTTAAGAACTGAGCACCTTCATCCCAGGCTTTAGAACTGTTGCACTGAGCTCATTATATGAGAATGAGAGAAATTAGTGGATATTGTGAAGACATCTGAGCCACAGATGCAACCTTAGAGGTTAGTCAAGACAGCACTTCACAGTCTCCAAAAAAGTTTTCTTTTTATAACTGACTTTTCTCGTGTCCTTTTTTCCCAGATACCTTTATCAATGAACGTGTCAACCTTTCTGGCATACGACCAGCCCACAATAAGTTACTGTGGGGTGCATCATGAACTTCTCTCTCATAAGTCTTTTGAAACGAATGCACAGGAAGATACGATGGAAACACACCTAGAGACTGAGCTGGACCTGAGCACAATCACAACAGCTGGCCGAATCAGTGACCATAAACAGCAGCTGGCTTAACTGAGCTAACTGGTAGCCAAGGGTTGCTACCAAACTTTGTAACCTCAAGGACAAAATGAGGAAGATTTGTTCTTTGTGGACTCTAAAAAAAACAAAACAAAACAAAACAATCCCCTATTCAAATAAACAAAAATCCAAGATTGATTCATGAAATAAAGAGGACATGAATTGTTTCAAGTCTACACTTTGTAATTAGCTAAGTTGTGCAGTATTTTTTTGACTTAAACAGAATATGACCCTGAAAAAAAAATCTTTTTTTCAAAACTCATCCTACCTACCTGTAAAAACTGTACAGAGCTAATGTATTTTTCATATTGTAAAGTTTCAATTATAAAAACAACTGGTATGTACAGTACCATAATTTAATTACATTTTACTTTACAAACTTTACACATTTCAGTTTCTAAAATTTTAAATTAACAAAAATTATTTCTTGTGTTATTCAGAGTTACTCAGTTTTGTAGGGACTGTTTTGTTACTGCTTTTGTGCCCAGAAACCTTGACTCTAAAATTCTGTGCTGTGCGAAACGTGCACGATTTTTATTATGCTTACTGCGTAGAATTTTATCTACTTGTTCCAGAAATAATACATTAACCAAAAAGGATTTAATTGTTCAGACTTGTATGAGATTCTTCAATTGCATAGACAGGTTTTTCTTATAAATGGAAAAAAAAAATTTTAACAGTTCTCAGACTTAACTGTTGCCTTGAATTACAGCCTAGTTTCTAAGCAGTGAAATGTAATGATAAAGAGGGATATTTTAACAACATAATTCCGAATGAATGACTCATTATTTCATTCTTTTTAGAAACCATTGTTAAGGGTGGGGGGAATTCTGGACAAAACATCACTGGAAACAAAGGCCGTAACCACAGCAACAGACTTTGATACACTTAAAAAGTGCAGCTACCAGTGACAAAGAAAAACTTTTGTTACATCTCATTATTTTAAGGCCAAGGTGGGAGGACAGAGCATAATAACTGTGCAGTAGCAATTTTTCTCCTAATTAACCCAAAGTGGTTTACCTAAAAATAACCATCAGTCAGTGCAAAGTATGCCTGGTTCTTAAGACAATTTTTCATTTAGAACTATGAGACTATATTTTGGGAATATTTCAAAGAAAATACATGAAATTTTTTGCATTGTGTACTACATCAATTCTCTCCTGAGGAAGAACTTTAAACATTGACAGCCCATTCAATATAGATATGAGCCATGGTGAGTTTTGTCACTCAAGTAGACTGTAAACATCCTTAATATGTTCTAAATTGTTTATATTGCCTTCTATAATGGGAATCACCTCCATATTATCTGACAAATAACTCAGAATAATTTGACACAACCCAGATCATATACTGATTATGCAATTGTATTATAAAGCAAATTCAAATCAAATTAAGAAAACCCAACTTTCCAG